TGGGCTCAATTCCTAGTGCCTACACAACAGCTTAACTGTCTGTAACTCCAACTCCTTGGCCCGGCGGTGGTAGCACACACCTTTAATCTCAGCACTTGGGAGGCAGGGGCAGGAGGATCTCTGTAAATTCAAGGCCAGCCTGGTCTACAAAGCAATTTCCCAGAACAGGCTCCAAAGCTACCCAGAGAAACTGTCTCAGACAACCACACACACACACACACACACACACACACACACACACGAGAAACAACGGTGGGTACTCTCCTTTTGGCTGAGAGATAAGCAGTTGGCCTAGTCTTCTCTTTCTGAGATCTACTTGTGTAGACATATTTATTAATACATTCCGGGGTGACAGCTCCGTTGTGTCAGCATTTCTGCTACCACAGTGCCTGTGTGTGAAATTCTGTGTGTAGTCAAAACTGCTGAGGGCTAACAAACGGTAAAAATGCCTGAGACAAGAAACAAGGAAACAGACTCAGGAACAAGACACTTTACTTGGGTTGCATTCCCTTTGAAAACAGTTAAGAACCCAAATGTTAAGGTATTCTTGGACAGATTTCTATTCCGCTGGCCCTGAAAAGTAAAAACCCAAGTTTTAATAGTAGCTTCTAAAAAACACACGTTTCAGGTATATGGCCCTTTGAGGCAAGGTGTTGGTAAGGAGCCCAGGGTGGTTGAACACTCATCCCCATCAACATCCTGAGTCCTGACTTATAGGATGCAACAGGGCCTGGCTTTCACAGCTGCCTCTAGAAAGAACCAGTCAATAACTTTGTCTGCAGGGACGCCTATCCTGAGCATCTCATGAACTACAAGGAAGTTAAAATAGATAAAAAGGCTCACATAGTCTTTTAATAAAGAGCTCACAATGTAGATGGGATTATGCAATACACAAGGTATTCTCCAAGAGTTCTACAACAAAAATTGAGTATAAATTCAATTTTGGCAGGTAAGACTTTATTTTAACTGTATTGGGAAAAAACTATATTGATAGATGCATCATACAGTTTATCCTTTATGATGTTTAAAGGAAAGCAAATGGAAGAGTATTCCGTTTCAGTTCTTTAAAGTTTAAAATAAAAATGTTTTGTGGTCCAGAAAAAAAAAATAGTATATATTCCACATTGGATTTTTTGTTGTTGTTGGTTTTTTTTTTTTGTTTTTTGTTTTTTGTTTTTTTCGAGACAGGGTTTCTCTGTGGTTTTTTTTGGAGCCTGTCCTGGAACTAGCTCTTGTAGACCAGGCTGGTTTCGAACTCACAGAGATCCGCCTACCTCTGCCTCCCAAGTGCTGGGATTAAAGGCGTATGCCACCACTGCCCGGCTCACATTGGATTTTTTAATCCTGATTTTTTTAGGGGTATGTGTGGGGATATAGGAATATAGTCTATAAGTGAGTCTAAAGTGGAATAGCGGAGAAGGCAAACTGAACAGCCCAGTACCAGGAAGCCAGTAAACAAAGCGTAATTTGGATCCACGTGGGGCTGGTTCATTAGGGAAGGCTGTGTCTGTGTGTACATGCCACTCTCTGCAACGCTGCCTGGTACAGCATCTGAAAACTGCCTAAGAGAGGCAGACACGGCAGACAGAATCTCCTATCTCACCACCAAGAATGAACATTATTATATCATCTCATTCTGCCCGAGAGGCATGGAAATACAAATAGAAACACTTCTAAACTCACCTCTGGAACATCCATGTTCACAGAACTAAAGAGCGAAGGCACCGATAATTCAGGATGACACCAACAAGGTGGCTGTAGGATGTGCTTACTTTTGAGCCCAGGTGTGGTGGTTTGCGTAAGCATGGCCCCCAAAGGCTCATGGATTGGAATGCTTGGTCACCAGGGAGTGGCACTCTGTGAAAGGATTAGGAACTGTGTCACCAGGGGTGGCCTTTGAGGTTTCTAAAGCCCACGCCAAGCCCAGTGTTGCTCTTTCATCTCGCTGCCTATGGATCCGATGTAGACCTTGCAGCTACTTCTCCAGCACCATGTCTGCCTGTATGCCACCATGTTTGTCCCATGCTGACAATGAACTAAACCTCTGAAACTGTAAGCAAGCCCCAATTAGGCATTAAACATTTTTGTTTTTTAAATAAGAGTTGCCTTGGTCATGGTGTTTCTTCACAGCAACAGAACACTGACGAAGATATTAGGTGTAACTAATTTTCAAGGAGTTCACATTTCTGCTATGAATACTGGCCACCTGAGTCAGAAATCATTTCATCTTTTGATTACACCTGATGCAAACAGTTAAGGGTTTAATCTCGAGACAGTCTCAGACTGGTGGCTAATGCTCCATAGATTCTACCCTCAGGGTGCAAGTGCAATTTGGAGTTTGGAGTAAAAGCACAGCATGGGCACAAACTCAGTTTTAACCTTTGTTGTGTTGCGGTGTTGACTGGACTCAGGACCTTCTACACGGCTAGGAGGGGCTCGAGCACCCAGCTGCATTCACACCCAAAAAACACTTTTAAAATTTAAAATAAAAGCACCCAGCCGCCCTAAGTTCTCTTCTTGTTTAAGTTCTCAACCCCCAACCAGTTTGCCCATGGCCTCATAGCTCCTTTCAATTAATTCAATCTTGTTTTGTTAATTTCCTGAGCTACCTCTTTTTCACCCGGCCAGAGGCTTTATTTTGTGGCATGTCTTCAACACCTAGTTCTGGCTGTTCTCCTCGTGCTCTTCCCAGAATGTACCAAATGCATCTCAACACGGATCCCTCCAGCCCTGAGTCGGAGAGACACACTGCTCAGCTGACCCTTTGCAGCTGAGACTGTGCTATGGACAATGAGAACATTGCAAGCCTTGGGGCAGACACATTGCTTCTCATGCACGACACTAGATTCTCCCATACATAAGCCTATTTCATATTCATGATCCAGGTCACGAGAATAAGCCTGAAGTGAAGGAAACCCCATCAATCTGACTGCTTCTCACACACTTGTGGCAATGCTTCAGCATCGTTGAGACAAACTGGATTGAGATCCTACCTCCATTTTTAAAAAAGAATGGCGCCAGGCAGTGGTGGCACACGCCTTTAATCCCAGCACTCGGGAGGCAGAGGCAGGTGGATCTCTGTGAGTTCGAGGCCAGCCTGGTCTACAAGAGCAAGTTCCAGGACAGGCTCCAAAACTACAGAGAAACCCTGTCTCAAAAAAACAAAACAAAACAAAACAAAAAAAAGAATGGCAATCTTGAAAGAGATTCTACATTCCCCTCAAGCCTTTGTTTCTTCAACTGTAAAATGAAAAAAAAAAATAGTCATCCCTGTCTCTCTTAGGTTAACTCTGAAAATGAAAAGATAATGGGGGTAGATGTCAGGACCCATCTGTTGGGAGCTGTAGATCTCTGACCTCTTGACTTTCTTTGCCTGCTGGAGTGAACTGAGCAAAACACCTGTGTCTGCAGCTGAAAGATCCCGAGAGCTGGGCGTGGCTAAGGATCCCTATATAAGCTGCCCCTGAGCATAATAAAACTTGGCATTCTTGTATCAAGGATGACCCGTGTCTGTATCTATGTATTTTTAAGTCTCCAGCTTAGTTCCCAGCTTGTGTACCGTCTTGTAGTGGCATGGGTGCTATAGGACCGGTCAGGACATTTGGGTTTTTACAGCCACCTTTTCAAGGTGACTCTCATACGATCCCAGCTGTGGCAGAGTCACACGTTCCAGGGTAGGGGCGTGAGGATTAAAAACATTAGGTAAGAGGAACAGAGATAAGAAAGAAACACAGGTAACAGGAGGGCAACTCAGTGAATCCTGAATGCTGAATCTTCACTTGAGTTTATTTTCCATATACTTTTACACCCCAATGCAAAAGTGGGGGGAAGAAGGCAAAAGACTGGCTTAACAGGGCACCATAAGCAGAACAGTTACTTGAGACATCAAGTTATTAATTCCTGAGAAAAGCATTTAATGTCTGGGGCAGTGAACATACCCTAGACTCAGTGTCCTGCAGGCAGCCACTCCCTAAGTCAAACCTCCTATTTTAAAAGGAGCAGAAGTACTTGAAAACTTTGACCTTTAGTCAGGGTGAAGTGGATTTACCTCTGTGGGGCACCCTGACGTCCAAAACACCAAGTAACCACAGCCTAGGTCAGGATCTCTTGTTTTGTAGCCACACCTGTTGTCAACAACTTTGACAGAGGAAAAATAAGCTCAAACTCTCGACCTTCAGACAAGGTAGTATAAGCTTACATTTTTGGGTCTCCATAGGTAGAATGTTTGCAAAGGTATTCAACAAATATTAGGTATAATTAAAATAGTTTGTGGGGCTGGAGAGGTCAGAGGTTAACAGTATTTGTTTTTTTTTGTAGAGAACCTGGGTTTGGTTCCCATTACCTACACAGTGGCTCATAACCATCCCTAACTTCAGTTCCAAATATTTTGATCTCCTTGGGCACATGAGGTACATATACATCCATGCAGACAAAATATTCATACACATAAACTATCTAAAAACAAACATATCAATAAAAAGCTTCTGAAAATTAAGTGGTTTCTTGGCTTTTACAAAGTTAGAGCTTAGGAGATGCCAGCTCAGATTTCAGTGTTGAAGGTGCTGCCGGGGGTACTGCTGGCCAGACCACAGCAGGAGAGGTTAGCATGGCAGGAAGAGAACCAAACATGACTTTAATGAATTTGCATTTTAATTGAGCAAGAACTTTTATTTTTTTAAAAAATCTTGTATATAAAATTTGCTCAGCAACAATAAAAGGAAAAAAGAAGCACTCCACTGGGAACAATAGCTACTCAGCTCATAAAACTCATTAGAAGAAACATTTTCTTTGTCTACCATGCCTAGCAATTTTGCTTGTAGGCAGCGATCCAGATCACTAAGATTCTACCTATAAAAATGAAGTCAGAGAACCCGTTCAAAAGTTCCGGCTAAGCGTGGTGCACGCCTTTAATCCCAGCACTCGGGAGGCAGAGGCAGGCGGATCTCTGTGAGTTCGAGGCCAGCCTGGTCTACAAAGGGAGTTCCAGGACAGGCTCCAAAGCTACAGAGAAACCCTGCCTCGAAAAACCAAAAAAGTTCCAGCTAATGAATTATACTGGTAGAAATTTTAATTTCCTAATGTGTGTAACTACACAAAAAATAAAATTTTGGCCCATAATTCACAAAATGCTTTTGATAACTAGTTGATACTGACCTACTGATAATAGCTAGGCACCTTGGGTTGCCCTTTCGTTAGAAGCAAGGAAGGATGCTGATGATGCACACCTCTCGGTCAAATCCTCCTGCAGTCGGAGGCCTGCTCTGGGGAAGAGTTGGGGGATGAGCAGACTCCCTGGTCTCAACAGCTCACCCTAAGTTGACTGAGTCACAGAAACCTCTTATTTGTGACATTAAGGATCTGGCTGATTCATCTGTTCCCACAAATGTCATTAAACTATTTTAAGCTAATTATGAAATGTGCGGAAGATAAATCACAGAAAGCTATTTTCTATATTCAAGGTTTCCCATGACAACCAAAAAAATTCTCCCACACAGGCATGGCATCTTTAATGGCCTTGTTGGGTAATCATAAGTAACACAAGTCTTGGATTTTCTTGTTAATAGAAAAAAATATGTAGCAAAAGTCACCCATGTTCCAAAGTATTTCTTCTACTTAGTCTGAACATTTGCATTTTAAGAATTAATTTATTTTGTGCTGGTGGTCATGTCAGAGGGGCAGCAGGGGATCAGTCCACAGGAATTCAGGACACTGGTGGTTGGTTGACTCTCAGACAGGTAAGGCCCCAGGAGCCTTGGCCCCAAAATATCTCTTGCTACTACTCTATCTTCACGTGTTGGTTGCTGTCATTTTTCTCTGCTATCTGGCATGGTGTGAGTGGGTGTGGGGAGATCCCCATTGCCTTTAATGAGGTATGATTACCTCATGGGAGTATCCCATTCTACTAGTTGTTTTGATTTGTGGATTATTATGAAGATGATTTCTTCCTAAGATGTACTGTTTAACTGAAGCGATGATTTTATACAATAATAGTCTTAGTTTATATAGGATTTTGATGATTGAGGGCCTTTAAAAAAATAGAGCGAGGGATTGTGCTAGAGGTTACCTTAGTGGAAAAACTAATATAGGAAAAAAAGGAAGATTTGGTGTTGCCCCCACCCCTGATAAAACAGGCTCTGCAGAGGGTAGAAAAACAGAACAAGGCAATGCCACACGGCTAGTTTCTTTTGAGGAGTCGTATAGACTGCAGCTTAGGTTAATAATTAAAAAAAAGTTTGAGTCCCATAAGCTAAATTAGCTCAAGTTCTTTTAATCTTAATGTTGAGAGATGTGTGCACAGGTTTCAATGTGCACTGTAGCTAAAACAAAGCTTTAAAATATGACTTACGCTTAGATTAAGATGTTTTTGTTAATAGCTTTGAGGTGAAAAACCTTGGGAAATAATCTGGAGTTTAGGAAGGCACAGAGTTGAGGGAAGGACTCATTACGGTCCGTGAACAAGAACAAAGCAGCCCAGTTATTCTTGACTGATGTGACTTTCTTGCTGATTGGTTGGTGATCAAAGACGATGATGCATTCCTTGTACTCGTTTCTGCTCTCAGCTTCCTGATATAAAGCTGTTGATGGGTGGGTACGCACCCTGAGGATTTAAAGTAGAGATGACTGATTGTTTTTCATATATGAAAGTTTAGGATTATGATTCTTTTAAGATTGTTTATAAGATCACCCTTTGAGATAAGATATAAAGTGATCGATACTTTCTTTGTAACTGCACAAGGCAGGCAGCCAGTAAAAGAACTGGCTGGGAAAAAAATACTTTGCTTGCTTACACTCTGTTAATCTATAACAAGTTGCTTGGATATGAACATATATAGAATATGAACATTATCTTGGGATAATCTGTTTTTCGTCTATAATATGTAGGATGTTATAATCATGTAAGGGAAATGGGAAACATGTTTTTTTTTAATCTGTAATTCATTATAACCATTCACTTGAAAAAGAAGAATGTAACTACATTCAAATTTCTATACTGCCTGAAAGATTGTGTTGGGATATATAAGGAAAAATAATAAACACTAAGCGAGAAATGGACAAGCACAGAGAAAGACCTTAAGAGTCTATGTGTGGCTTTCCCCTTTTTTGCCAGCCCCATAGAATGAAGTTTTACTCCAGACAGGAAAGTCAAGTTGAGTGATAGATAGTCCACGGACTCTGTGGGCTCCCTTCAGACTCTACGCTGGTCCTCAAGGTGTTGATAATTTTGCACCTTTACCCATCTTGGTAAAACACATTACCATGTAAAACTTTGGTTTTAAATATTGTTCAAACAAAACACAGGATACGCTCTGAGGGCTAAAAACAAAACAAAGCACAATGCCTGCTACATTTAACATTCTTTTTCTCTAACTAAATGATCCACCTTTTCTATTACATTGCAGATTGGCATCACTAAGCATAATCGAATCGGCTTTTTCCAGCCTTTCCCCGTAGGGCTAGTTTTGTAAACCTTTAATCATGTTAGTACTTCTCCGGGTCCTCATGCTTTAGCTATAGCTAAGGGTCTCAGAGAGCAGAGTGCCCTTTCAAGTTCCAGTGACTGCCCTAAAATCATGATTTAGTAAATTAGATACATTTGGACTCAAAACATTTAAAGTCCCTGACATTGAAACAGTCCCCAATCCTTCTAAAGCGAGGGCATATGCAAAACCACAAAGAAGAGAACTTCAGCTCTGTTCACAGATCCCATGCCATCATGACCGTTACTTATACCTTTCTGTGTATGTTGGGGGCAGAGAGAGAGTTAGACTAAGTCTTTATAAGTATAATATTACATATGGAATAATGTGGCAAAGCACCAGCTTCAGAACATACAAATTCGCTCCCCTTCGAAGGGAATGACGAGCAAGGCCACATGTTTTTTATTGCTGCACACTAAATGACAGAAGGACAGATTTGGTCAATGTTCCATGTTCTTCTGTAGGACTTTAGTGCTTTGCAGTTTGTTTCCCTTGGGCATGGTCCTTCAGCATCACTTTTGTTTGGTGAATGATAGTAGCAAGTTCTTTGCTTCAATTATTTTTCCTGCTAAGTAACCAGATCCACCTGGGAGAACAAAGAGAAAGAAATGGTTAAAGCTTATGTCATTACTGACATTTTAAAAATTCAATACAGGAAAAAAACCAACAACAACTATATTTCAGGTATTTTCTCATGCATTTTTCATCTGACAATCTATTTTATATGCTTGCCCAAAATCAAAATAGCACAAATTAAACTTATTTAGTTAAGCATTAACAGATACCCATCAGTCAAAATGCAATTTCTGAGAAAAATATAAGCTATATATTTTGGAGATCGGCCATCTCTCAGATGTCAGGTTGGTGAAGATCTTTTCCCATTCTGTAGGCGGCCACTGTCTCATTGACCATGTCCTCTGCTTTACAGAAGCTTTTCAGTTTCAAGAGGTCCCATTTATTAATTGTCGATCTCAGTCTCTGTGCTACTGGTGTTATATTCAGGAAGTAGTCTCCTGTGCCAATGAGTTTAAGGCTACTTCCCACTTTCTGTTCTGTCAGGTTCAGTGTAACTGGATTTATGTTGATCCACTTGGACTTGAGTTTTGTGAAGGGCGATAGACAGGGATCTGTTTGCATTCTTCTACATGAGTTATCAGTTGAAAAACAATTACTGGTTATATAGTTACCATATAGACATTTGGCCAGAATATTTTCAAAATTAAATGTATGATTAACTAAACAAAATAACACTGTTTCTTTAGAGTTATATCTTAGAAGCAATAAATACGACCTTTAAGAAGGAGGAAAATCCATCTAAAAGGGTCTTTTCATGTCTCATCATAATTTCACAAAATAAACACTAGTTTAAAAGACAAATGTATAGTACATAGTGCTAAGAATCACACTTGCTAAGATAAATGAACTACCACTAAAAATAATGTTAGAAGAAATTCTCTCTGTTCTCTGGAATGATTCTATTACAACATTTACAATGTATTCTTGGATTTACAATACCCTCAAACAAAATTAAGTCAGTTCTTTTTTTAGAGCTCTTTGCAATGAATTATTTCTAATGCAAACAGCAAATTGAGGTGAATTTCAAATACAAAATCATTATGATCATAAGCAATGCTTATTTGACACATAAAAATATCCCCAAACTGTCACATTAAAGCTACACACCATAATCCTAATTTCTGTTCTAGAACACTGCCACTGCTCAATGCTTGAGCTCACAGGCAATTACACTTTCTAGTCTCTGTTTTTATTTTGTACTTTTCTCTTAAGTACAAACTACAGCTGAATATCGTAATGCCTCACAACTTTTAAACAACAAAAGTATTTAGACAGTATAGCTAGGAAGTGTCCCGGCTGCACTCAGGTCTCCTATTACTATATCCCCATCACTTTAGGAAGGAAAAGGCAAGCAGAGAAAACACATCAACAAATCAACAAACACAGGGCTGCAGTACAGCCAGAAGAAACAATATTTTGTTTCTGCCTTTGAAGATGCCACTGACACTTTCATATCAAATTATGAAACATGATAAACATTTAAGGAATATATCACACAGTGACCTTGAATACACAGTGAGAATTACAAAGAAAGTTCATAACCCTATAAATAGATTTCATGATTATCTCTAAAAATGACCCCAGAACATGCCTGGCTTATCCTTGTCAGCTGCTTAAATGTTTGAATTAGCAAGGAGTTGCCAGGTACTTTGTGTGCTCTAAAAAATATTAAATTATTAATTAATTTTATCTATAACCTTTAATTGATCAATATACATTCTAAATATTTAAATTATAAGCCACTATGGGTTCATAAAAGAAAATGAATAAACAAACAAAATAGAGCACATAAGAGTAAAAATTTTATTAAAATCTTAAGAGTAAAAATCTTATATTTGTGGATTATCTAATATGGTTTATTTATTAAAAAAGCAGCAGCCCAGTAGATGTTGGTTAAAGGAGACTTTGTTTTTAAATAATCTAAAGATTCACAGCAATAACAACAAAGTGAGTGCTGCAATGCTAATTATGGCAGGAGAACTGCTGTACGGCAAAGGCAGAACAGATCTCCCGGTGTCCTAAGTTAGTCTGTGGGATTAAACAAGGAGATTTAGATGTTGTACGCGTCTAATATCTTAGGATCAGAACGTATAAAGAAAACACTGTCACAACCAAAAGGAAAAACACATACTCCATAATTATGGGAGGTTTAGCACACATCTCAATAATTCACTGGACAACTAGAGAAAGAATAAAACATCAGCATAAAGACCATGATGAGCAGACATGATTGAGCTGATGCTCACAGAACATCGCACCACACAAAAGCAGAATAACTCTTTAAAGCTGCGAACTTAGGATACCGAGTCTCTGCAAACTCAAAACCAGCAAAACCAGCAAGTGCACTCTGTGGACAGTGACCAGCCACGCTTAGAAACCAAGCGTTCTGAAAATACTATACATCACTTATATATACTTCAATTTTCTAGTAAATGCATTTGTTGTATTTTCCAACAGGCTTAGAGGTGACGAGCTCTGGCTGCTCACCCTAGCCTCGGGTCTCACCATCTCACCAGAGCTGCCAGTTAGCTCCAGCTCCAAGACACCTGATGCCTCTGGCGCTCTGCTCTGCTGCACTTGCATGCACACGCCACATACAGACTCAAGTGCCTACACATAGTCAAAAAGCAAAAATAGGTTTTAAAAGTCACTGGAGATTACAGGGGAAAATGCAAGTCATATACAGTATAGTGCTTGAACAGTACTGACACATGATTCTACAACCGTAGATCTATGATAGAAGCCAACATGTCGAAGAGGGCCTCAATGTTTAGATAATTCACAAAAAGATAGCACAGACCAAATCAGCATTCAAGAGAAAGACTCAACAAATTCAAAGGTTAGGTGTTTTTTTTTTTTTTTAATTGTTTTGGTTTTTCAAGACAGGGTTTCTCTGTGTAATAGACCTAGCTATCCTGGAAAGAGCTTTGTAGACCAGGCTGGACTTGAACTCACAGAAATCTGCCTGCCTCAACCTACCAAGTGCTGGGATTAAATTTAGTGGTCAGTTTCTTTTAAAACAACAAAGATTTTTTTTTTTAAAAAAAAAAGGGCCGTGGGAGTGAGATAGTTCCGCAGCAAAGGTGCGTGCTGATGGTAGAAAGGACAGACTACCACAAGCGGCCCGAGCTCCACACAGGTGCCACAGCACATGCGGGCACACACTCCTCTCTCCCACAACAGAAACATGAAATAATAACTTAAAAAACAACCAATCATTTTCATGATAAAGTCAAAATTTTAAATGAAAAATAAATTCCAGGAAAAACATGGCCTATCACAAGCAATAAAAAAAATCTGAAAATCAAAAGCACACCATCCATTTAAAGAACTGAATCTGTAATTAAATGCCTAGCCAAAATTTTATCAACAAATCCAAAGCCCTGCCAAAAATGAACAAACGAGCCTAAACAAAAAGATGAATAGGAGCGCATATTCATCTTTTCCCATCCCAGGGTTACCTCTGATAACAAACTCTGACAGATACCACAAGAAAGGAAACCACAGCACCTCTGACTTGCATAGATTCAAAAACACTATGCTCCCTTATCCAGTCAGACAAAATATCACGACCAAGGTAGGCTTTAATCAGAAGAGCAAGATTGCTTTAACTAACATCCGAAATTTAAGCAATGTAACTCAACACATTAACAGATGAAGAAAAGCATACGATCTTCTCAGCAGACACAGACAATTCGACAGGAGTGTGTTTTGTGTGCTAAAACCACCAGAAAAACAGCCAGTGGCATTGTTAGTGAAAGGCAGGAAAGTAGATCTGAGGTAAGGACAAGAAAAGGACAGTGGCCATCATTGCTGATGTATCCCACCACATGGGAAGGTCTTGCCATTGTAGCATTTTCTGCCCCACCTCTCACTAACCCAAAAGGAATAAAGACCAAAAAGAAATGGTCATTGTTTATAAATGATACCAACTACTCCACAAAAAATCCAAAATTATCTAAAGACAAATCACTGCTTTTTATAAATAAATCCAAAAGTTGATGGGTAGAATATAAAAATATTTCAAAGTCAGCATTTCTGTATTCTAATAACAATAACTTCACAATAATTTCGGAACCATGACAATTTATCGCAGAACTACAGTCCTAGGATGCAGAGGCAGCTCGTCAGTTACAAGCACTTGGTGCTTTTCCAGAGGGCACAAACTCAGTTCCCAGCACCTCCCTTAGGCAGTTCCCAGTCTTTGTAACTACAGCTCCAGGGATCTGACACCCCGGCCTCCATGGACGCTTGCACTCCTGTGTGTATTCCCACACGCACACAAACACCTATACATAATTAAAAAATAAAAATCAATCTTCATCTAAGGATTGGGGCTCTAGCTCAGTGGGAAAGGACCAGGTTAGCATGTACAAAGTCCTGGGCTCAATCCCAACACCTTTAGAACAAAGAAAGCAGAACCAATATTGGCAATAAACACGCTAAATCACAGATATGACATACACAAACACTGTAAAACTGAAACAAAGGTGATCTAAACAAATGATCCTGTTAAGTCAATGATAACTAAGCTATAATACATTTAACCCCAGAAAATAAGTACAGACTACGGGGGCTAGAGAAGTGGTTCTCAACCCGTGGGTCGCGACCACTTTGTGGAGTGTGGGGGCTGAACAACCCTTTCACAGGGGTCACCAAAGAGCATTGGAAAACACAAATATTTACATTATGATTCATAACAGTAGCAAAACTATAGTTAGGAAATAGCCAAGAAAGTAATTTAATGATTGGGGAGGTCACCACAATAAGAGGAACTGTATATAGGGTTACAGTATTAGGAAGGTCGAGAACCACTGGGCTAGAGGGAGCACATAGATCTTATTAGGTAGGAAAGGAAAATAGAATAGATAGATATGGATGGGGGGATGGAATGGGAGAATCAAATGGGAAGGGGAGAGGAGGTGGGTAGTGAGAGAAAATCCAGGAAGAGACAGCTAAAATTTGTGGAGTAAGTAATATGGAACCCATACAATAGAAACTTCCTAAAAT